TTCCACTGAGAAGTCTGCCATCAGATGATTGGCATTTCTTTACATGTTGTTCGCTTTTTCTCTCTTGCTGCTTTTTAGGATCCTCTCATTGTCTTTGACCTTGGAGAGTTTAATTATTATATGTCTTGATGTAAGTCCTGTTTGGTGTTCTCTGTCCTTCCTATACCTAAACTTTTATTTCTTTTTCAAGTTTTGGAAACTTTTCTGTTATTATTTTTTGAGTTAAGTGTTCTACCCTTATCTTTTGCTCAGCTCCTTTTTGAATACTAGTAATTCTTAGATTTTTGTCTTTTGAGGTAATTTTCTATATCTTGTAAGTAGTCTTTATTCCTTTTGATTTTTTTTTTCTTATTTCTCCTGTGACTGTGTACTTCTAAACAGCCTGTCTTTGAGAGCACTGATTCTTTCCTCTGCTTGGTCCATTCTGCTGTAGAGAGCCTTCAATGAATTTTTGAATTCAGCAAATGTGTTTCTCAGTTCCAAGATTTTTGTTTGATCTTTTGCTATTATTTCAATCTCCTTGTAAAATTTATAAATTGCTTTTTTTGTGTTATCTTGGAGATCACTGTTTTTTGTGGATATACATCTATGTCTTTGCATTGCAATTAGTATTCATTCCAGTTTTCTCTGCCTGGCTTGTTTTGGTTTTCATTGGGTATGTTTGCTTAGAGATTTTTCATAATTTATCTGTTGAATCTCTTATACATTTTTCCGCTAGGTCAGTGCCTCCTTTTCAGCACTAGATGGCACATTAAACCTGTGTTGCCTTGGCTCTAGCAAATTATCAGAGACGATCATCAGAAATAGGGGAGGTCCCAAAGAGGGTATCCTGTCAGTGTGGAAGGGCTGGCTGTAGTTTGTGCTCAGGGGCCCTGTGGAATGTACCTCCTACAGCATGGTGCTGCTAAGCAGCCACTCCGATTTGGCATGTCCTTTGGCTGAATTACAGAGCAGTTTCTAGCATTCAGGATGTTAGTCCTACCTCTCCACTTTGTCTTTAGCTGTCCTCAGAGATGTTCTTTTAGGCACTCACAGTGCTTCCCATAGTTTGAGGTAGGGACAGGTCTCCTGTCAGAGAACATAAGAGAGTAGAGAAACTGACTGTCAACCTCAGTCTCACTTTCTCCAGTGTAGAAACTGAGAGTCAATGAACATTTTCCACATACTTGGTGCTGGGCAGATTCCAGGGAGTAGTGTTATTGTCATGAACATCAGATTCTCTTACCGTCTGCTGGAGTCTTTTCACTTCTCGGTGGCTCCAGGAACTGATTCATCCTCATATTTGTGTTCTGGGATATTGCTGGTGGTCATCTTGGTGCTATATATTTGTTTTTGGTTTTCTGTGCAAGGGAGTGAAGCCAGCTTGTTTCTATGCCACCATTTTCGAATTGGAAGTACGACTATAGGGCATCACAGTCTTAAACTCCTAGGCTCAAGTGATCTTGTTTCAACCTTCCAAGTCGCTGGAACTACAGTCTCATGCCACTGTGCTCAGCTGATAATTTCTAGGAGTTTAAAAAGTTCCTGAATTTAAAATGTGAGAGACTTGCTAATCAACTAGAGTATATGCTTTACTATGGAAATTTAATTCAGAAGGAGAGATGATAGGTCAAGGCAAGGGGAAAGGAATGATAGAGATACTACCAGGTCCTATAATTTAAAAAGTGAAGATGCACTGGACAAACATTTCAGCAAGTTTCCTTTGAATAAGAAGTTTTTTTTTGTTGTTGTTGTTGTTTGTTTGTTTGTTTGTTTTTTGTTTTTTTTTTGAGACGGAGTCTGGCTCTGTCGCCCAGGCTGGAGTGCAGTGGCCGGATCTCAGCTCACTGCAAGCTCCGCCTCCCGGATTTACGCCATTCTCCTGCCTCAGCCTCCCTAGTAGCTGGGACTACAGGCGCCCGCCACCTCGCCCGGCTAGTTTTTTGTGTTTTTTTAGTAGAGACGGGGTTTCACCGTGTTAGCCAGGATGGTCTCGATCTCCTGACCTCGTGATCCGCGCGTCTCGGCCTCCCAAAGTGCTGGGATTACAGGCTTGAGCCACCGCGCCCGGCCTGAATAAGAAGTTTATATAAAAGTCAAAATGTCTTAAATGCAGGGAAATTAAGGTTAGAGATTTGCAAAATGTTTCTTTTTTCAACATTAACATGCCCTTCATTTGTTAAATTCTATACTGTGTACTTTAGCTATTGCTATGAATTGGAAATTTCTATAAAAATTATCTGAAGTCTAACATTCATGATTCTCATCTGTAACTTATTCTTACAGATAGCAGTCACATTTTGCATTTTAAAATTTACCTGCTTCTTACACCATTTTGCCTTTTAAAAGCTGAAATAAAGTATGGTGTATTTCCAAACACTGACACTAACAATGTGTAACATTTGTTGAATGTATGGTATGAGCCTAGTACTCTTCTAGGTTCTCTACACATCTTAATTCATTAAATTTTTTAGAAACTTTGTGACATAAACACCCTTATTATTCCTGTTTTATAGATGAAAAGCCAAAGAATGCAAAGATTCAATACTTAACTAAAGTTATTCAGTTCATAAATGATGAAGCCTATTTTCCCACATAGGCAATCTAGCTCTGGATCAACTTAGCATAGAATGGTATCCTGGAGGTTTCATAAATATTTATCTCCTCTTCCCCCCACCCCCCCCCGAAAAAAAGCTAAAAACCAAAAACAAGGGAGTAGTGAGACAATATCTAATTGATGAAATTAACCAATTTCATCTAACCCTTTAAAATTTATAATGCTGGAATTCATAAGTTGTAATCATACCAAATATAATAGGTCTAGAATTATGATACTATTGCTATGTGACATACATTTTTGCTGATTCAACCTGAGAATAGTCAATCTCAAATTTTAAGGACTTATTACAACGTATCTAAAATAGTATAAAGTCCAAAACCTTGTCTCTAGAGCTGTTGTAACTATTTCTAATTCCCCAAATTGTGGGTTAGGCAATGTTAGAAGCTGTGATACAGTACTTGTATGATGATAATATAATTGGTAAATAAACGTTGGTATGGAGGAAAGTAAGAAAGCTGATAAGTTCTGGGATCAGAGATGATGATGCTACAGATAAACAAGTCTAGCTGTGAAACTATGATCAGAATAAGGATCCAGAATAGTTAATGTGGATAGCCACTCTTTTGACAGCAGCTATAAAGGCAATTCTAGGCTCTGCTACTGCCAGGACTTTGCTCTGGAGCAGTTCACTGGTGTAGTCTTTTCACCATTCTGGAAATAGACAATGGGTAGAACCCTTCACCCTATAAGGTGTGACTTGTTTTTCTTACCAAATATTTGTTGCTAATCAATCTCAATCATGCAATTAGTTTGAAAACTTGTACATCAGAGTCTTCATTAATCTATCCTATTTATCTTTGCGCAAAGTTCATTTAATGAATAACTTGCTTTGAATTTGTGAGTTATTATTTAGTGCTTCAGAAATCCAATGACTAATGCCGTGAGACAAGCAGATGTGCTGTATCAGCTTCAGCAGTGTCATTTTCCTTGGCTTTCCCCCGTGAAGTTCTCAAGGCCTAAACCTCTTGAGCATGCAGTCTGTTGGCTTCAGGAATGTCAGTGGGATCCAGAGAAGGGCTCATGGCTTTGGGTGGGGAGAAGAGTGCAATTTGCATCTTGTTCACTTCCTCCCTGTTTTCTATGTCCAGATGTTATCAGGATAAAATCAGAGCTCCTACTGAGTTGTCAAGTCTTATGCATTTCTGTTTTCTGTCCAGGCCTTTGAAATTAAGGAGAATTTAAAGAAATGGTGTATGGGGTGAAGGAAACAAACAAGGAAATGAAAACCAGAAGAGAAAGCAGCCCAATATGGTAACAGAGCTCAGATGGAACTTGTAAAGATAGAAATCACCTCCAATATAATTTGAGGTTAGCGCCAGCACTTGAGATAGTCAATGAGTTTCTCAATTCCAGGGCAAGGGTTCCAGTTTTAAGACTTGGGCTTCCAGAGCAACACATATAGGAGAAAAACAAACAGTTGAATGCAGCCTAAATACGTACAAGAGATAGTTACTTAATGATATGGTCTGACTCTGTGTTCCCAGCCAAATCTCATTTTGAATTGTACTCCCATAATTCCCAGGTGTTGTGGGAGGGACTTGGTGGGAGATAATTAAATCTTGAGGGCAATTTCTCCCATACTGTTCTTGTGGTAGTCAATAAGTCTCATGAGATCTGATGGTTTTATAAGGGGTTTCCACTTTCACTTCTCTCTCTCTCTCTCTCTCTCTCTCTCTTTCTCTCTCTCTGGTTCTTGCCAAAACCATGTAAGAAGTGCCTTTTGCCTTCTGCCTTGATTGTGAAGCCTCCCCTGTCATTAAACCTATTTTTATTTTTCTTTCTATCTTTTGGTTTTTTTTGTTTTTTTTTTTTAAGGTGTGCACTTTTATTCACTGGTCTCAAGTCAGTGTATAGGTAAGCTCTGGCTGCCTCCACCCACTCCCAGGGAGACCAAAAACCTTCATACATCTCAAGTTGGGGGACAAAAGAGGGGGACCATGAAGGCTGATCACTCAAAATAAAACAAAATAAAATGGTATTAAGGTGAAAATTAAAAAAATTTTGCATTACATAGTTTACACGAAAGCAATGCTATCACCTCCCCTTTGTAGGCTTGGGAAAGGACTAGGCCATTCTCCTTAGAGAGTAGTGGGGTGGCTTTTAAGAGGGCAACAGACTTCCTGTAACAATGCATTTCATGATATTTGGGATGACTATCAAAAAAGTACAATGTATAATCAAAGTCCTCAGCCACATTGCAGAACTTTGGGGGATGTTTCCTCTAGCCGACTACTGTCACCTTCACTGTTCCAGTTTTTAAGTCCTGAGTCAAGCCAAAAAAAAGAAAAAAAGAAAACAAAACAAAAAAACAAAACAAAGAAAGCCATGCAATCTCATCTTGTTTTCTGCGCAAGTTATTTTTTTTCAAGAAAGGGTTTAATGCAACTAAGTTATAATCGGCCTAGAAGCATTTGCTGCGGATGAAGAAGGGGTCGGGCTTGTCGCATTCCTTGCTGATCCACATCTGCTGGAAGCTGGAAGCCAGGATGGAGTCACTGATCAACATGGAGTACTAACTTTCAGAGGAGCAATGGCGCCAGGGCGATGATCTCCTTCTGCACCCCATCCTGCCACACCAGGGTACATGGTGGTGCCACCAGACAGCCCTGTGTTGGCATGGAGCTCTTTGCGGATGTCCATGTCACACTTCATGATGGAATTGACAGTAGGATGCCACAGGATTCCATGCCCAGGAAGGAAGGGTGGAAGAATGCCTGGGGAGTATGGAACCCTTCGTTGCTGACGGTGATGACCTGGCCATTGGAAGTTCAGGCAGCTCGTAGCTCTTCTCCAGGGAGGAGCCGGAGGCCACCGTGGCCATCTCCTGCTTGAAGTCCAGGGTGATGTAGCACAACTTCTCCTTGATGTCATGCATGATTTCCTGCTCGGCCGTGGTGGTGAAGCTGTAGCTCCTGCTCGGTGAGGATCTTCATGAAGTAGTCAGTCAGGTCCAGACCAGCCAGGTCCAGACGCAGGATGGCGTGGGGGAGAGCATACCACTCATAGATGGGCAGTGTGGGTGACCCCATCACCAGAGTCCATCACAATGCCAGTGGTAATGTCAGAGGCATACAGGGACAGCACCACAGGCTGGATGGCCACGTATATGGCTGGGGTGTTGCTGAAGGTCTCGAACAAGATCTGGGTCATCTTCTCATGATTGGCCTTGGGGTTCAGTGGGGCCTAGGTCAGCAGCATGGGGTGGTCCTCAGGAGCCATAGGCAGCTTGTTGTAGAAGGTGTGGTGCCAGATCTTATCCATGTCATCCCAGTTGATACTGTGCTGCACCGAGTACTTCAGGGTCAGGATGCTTCTCTTGCTCTGGGCCTCATCGCCCACAAAGGAGTCCTTCTGACCCATGCCCACCATCATGCCCTGGGGTCTGGGGCTACCCATGATAGAGGGGAAGATGGCCCGGGAGCATCGTCACCTGCAAAGCCAGCCTTGCACATGCCAGAACCGTTGTTGATGAGGAGCGGGGCGATATCATCATCCACGATGAGTTAGCTGGGGGTGTGGATGCCTGGCAGAGCCGCGAGGAGGTGGCTTTGTGCTCGCGGGGTGGACGTGGTCTCGGCGATCCATTAAACCTATTTTTCTTCCCAGTCTCAGGTATGTCTTTATCAGCAGCATCAAAATGGACTAATACACTTAGCTGAGCATGTCTAGAAAATTTTCTGATTACAGTTTTGACAAGAATATCATCTTTTTTCTCTACCAATCAGAGTGTTATGCCTGTCCCATTCCTAATGTGTTACTTTTCCATTGTTAATCCACTTAAAATAACCTATGGTCTTGTTGAGATAGAACCTTTTTTAAAACAAAAAACGAATATTCTACTTAACTACCTATTCTTAGTTCAATTTTGTAGGAAATAAACATTTCAACAATAGAATTAAAAAATGTATACAATGGCAGATATTTTATAAATCATATTTCTCTAATTTAAGAGATTTAGCAAACACACTAAATCTAATTCTCTTTTGGAAACAAAATTTACATTTCCAGATAATCTGGAAAAGCTAATTAATCAATAAGTTCCTTGGGGTTTTACTCTGTGTTTTGACAGCACCAATATATTCATCATGGTGTAGGGCATGAGGAAATAGCACAATTAATACTCATAAACATGAATGTGAAAATGTATAGTTTTGTGCTTAGAAGTGTCATTTCTAATTGCAAATATGGCAGCTTTATTGACATCATCATTAACAGGATTTTTAAGCAATCTACCAGTAGTTCCAGAGATGAGATTCACTTCTACTTCTAGAACAAATGTATAAGTATGCTTTTATTAGTTACTGTTTTAATTTCAAATTTTCTATTCTATATATTTGAAATAGTCTTTAAAGTTTTCACAAACAAGCAAGAATTAGAAAAGTACCTCATCGTGCCTATTTATTGTTTAAATCTTTTACTCTTTTGTATTTTCGAATTGGACCAACAACTCTAATTATACTAAGTACTCATTCTAGTTTTTTTCTAAGCTTATCTATCAATCTGAAATTCTCTTTTTGACACTTGAAATTTTATTATGACTTTTATATTTTAAAGGATGATAATTATTTCTGCATGTATTTAAAACTGAGTCCTTAGATTATTGTTTCTGAGATGTGGCTGCTGTCCTTTAAACTCTCTTGTTTGTTACAAGTACACGGCATTAAGAGACTTTCTCTAAAGGAGTAATGAAAACTAACTTTTAAAAAGATAATATACAATTTTCTCCAACAAATATTTTGTTTTTTAAGGTATTGCTTATACTTAGTAAAATAATACTTTTTCTCCTATCATTCTGTGGTGATAAGTTATTGCCAAGAGATTTCTGATATTTGGCTGAGAGTGGAGATGGCCTTCTGAAAGGGCATGGAGGAGTGGGCAGAGCTGTCAATCTGAGCAAGAAGGGCTTGAAAACTTCTTCTCTGAAAATGCACTGAAGCCTAGAAGTTCTTCACTGTTTAGAAACAAAGCTTAGTAGAAGGTGTACTGGAGGCGTGAACTTGGGATTAGAGAGAAGTAGAGTAACAGACCGGTATTTTGAAAGGTCTATGGGAGCCTGATATCATGGATAAAGGCATTAGGCAAAGTCTATATAGGAGATAGACCCAGACTCTAACTTAGAGTAGAGGTTAGGACCCAATACAACATAACAGGACTTCTATACAGAATAAACTATGTCAAGATCTCAGTGTAGACCCCAGCAACTAGTGCTACTGCATATCCTGAGCATCTATATGAGGCTAACCTGATATAGTTTAGGACTATCTCAGATCATCACTGTTGCTAATGCTTTCATTCCCCACTCTCATCCTTAATATTTCACTTAGAACCTTATCTTTTCAGGTAGGCTTCCCGTAATCATTCAATTTTTTTTTTTTTTTTTTTTTGAGACGGAGTCTCGCTCTGCCGCCCAGGCTGGAGTGCAATGGCCGGATCTCAGCTCACTGCAAGCTCCGCCTCCCGGGTTCACGCCATTCTCCTGCCTCAGCCTCCCGAGTAGCTGGGACTACAGGCACCCGCCACCACGCCCGGCTAGTTTTTTATATTTTTAGTAGAGACGGGGTTTCACCGTGTTAGCCAGGATGGTCTCGATCTCCTGACCTCGTGATCCGCCCGTCTCGGCCTCCCAAAGTGCTGGGATTACAGGCTTGAGCCACCGCGCCCGGCCTAATCATTCAATTTAAAGTAGATCCCTTATAATCTCTCTCATAGGAATTTTTTATCTGTCATTATACTAATTTTGTAATACTATTAAATTTTTTTTTCATATTAGTCTCCACCATGACAGGCACGATATCTTTTTATTCACTATAGTGTGCTCTATGCCTAGCATAGTACCTGGCACACAAACAGCTCAATAAGCACTCTATTTGCTAAATAAACAAATGTTAAATAGGAAAATATGCTATCTTAATAACTGGCTAGTGACTCAAGTAAACTGAATGGGGGTGGAATACACTGGACCAGGGAAGATCTAGGATTTCCAGGATCCCACTGATTGTCAGAAAGGACAGAGGAGGGAACTTCAAAATCAAGGTAGAAAACTTAGTTGGCTACTTGACTCTTGAGGAACTATTGTCTTTTCCCTCAATAACTCAAGAAAAGAAGCAGGAGCTAAGGGTGGCAAAGAGCTTGTGTAATAAACATGCAGCACAGCCCAGGCCAGAGGAGGTTTCCTTGGACTGAAACAAAAAAGGAAGACTAAGGGGAAAGACTAGAAGAACTCTTTGAGTTGAATCAGTGCCTTGAACTGGAGCCATTTTCAGTCTTGATTGGTTAACATCTGAGCAGCAACATCTATAAAGGAAATAAGTAAATGGTCAAGAAGATGGTAAAAAACTTCAAGAGTCCACCTTGCTTCATTCTCATTCATGTGGAATACAGGGATCATTACCACTAGGATTTTAAAGATTGGTTACAACACTTACTTTACTTATTGCTTATTTTTATTTTCTGCTTTTTTTTTTTTTGCCTTTGGAACTTTAAGAAACATCTTTAAAAGTGTAAATCAATAGTTGGACGTGGCGACTCACGCCTGTAATCCCAGTACTTTGGAAGGCCCAGGCAGGCAGATCACGAGGTCAGGAGATCCAGACCATCTTGGCTAACACTGTGAAACCCCGTCTCTACTAAAAATACAAAAAAATTAGCTGAGCATGGTTGTGGGCACCTGTAATTCCAGCTACACAGGAGGTTGAAGCAGGAGAATGGCATAAACCCAGGAGGCGGAGCTTGCATTTAGCGAGACTTGCCCACTGCTTCCAGCCTGGGAGGACAGAGCCAACTCTGTCTCAAAAAAAAAAAAAAAAAAAAAAAAAAAAAATGTGTAAAGTAACTCGTTGCTTACTTTAGACAAAGAAGGCTGGAAGGAGATTGGGAAATAATATCTTTTCACTCAAAGGTGGATCTTGGTAATGCTGTGGATAGGGAAACCATTAATGGAAGATGAGTGGTATTAGTGTTAACCTGGCCTCATTGGTAGGCTATACGTTAATTTAAAAAACTGATGCCCAGGAACTAATATCTTCAGCCCAACCCTGAGATTTAAACTTGTAAGAGACCCATTCACTGAAATAAATTATTTCCTTAAAAATAATTCCAGCTGATTGGAATGCAGAATGGAAAAGATATGTATATCAACAATAATATTCTGTGAAGCTATAGCATTTTCATTTGGTTGTACATTTGATATATTTTCATTCACTGTAAGTTTATGTCACACAGAATTTAGTGTTGAGATAATAAAAAAAAAATTACTGATAGCTATATTAAACTCAGTAATCTTACTTCTCTTGCCTAAATGATTTACTTCTGAATCATTTTTGATAGCTTAAAAGAATCTTGTGTTTCATGACATATTTTTAGAGTTTGTGAAATAAAAGTTTTATATTTTTCACAATGCTATTTGGCTTTTTTATATATTGAACTTATCATCTTTTCAGATTCACACAGAGCATAATCCTAGCTCAAGGAAATTGCAGAATGCCATTGCCTTCGGTAGCTTTTTGTCTCAGTTATCCATTTGAGCTGAACAGCCTAGTGGTCCCTATTTATACTCTGATTGCCCAACTATCATCCTATTGTCTCCTTTGCTGGAAGACATGGAAGTTATATTTATGACACTGCAATGACTAAGTTCTACTAGTTTTCTTGCTGCTCAATTGCTCATCAACTGTTTTTAAATTTATGTTTTTAATTGACAGAAAAAATTGTATTTGTTATGTACAACATGATGTTTTGAAATGTGTATGTGTGTGTAGTGGAACAGTTAAATCTAGCTAATTAGCAAATACATTACCTCACAGAGTTTTCATTTCTGTGGTGAGAGCACTTAATATCCACTCTTTCTGCACTTTTCAAGAATACAAAATATCATCATATATTAATGATATATGATGACTGTAGTCACTACACTCTAAATAGATCTCTTGAACTTATTTCTTCTATCTAACTGGGTATATATCCAAAGGGAATAAAATCAGTATGTCAAAGAGATATCTGCACTCCAATGTTTACTATGGTAGTACCCATAATAGCCAAGATGTTGAATCAACATAATTGTCCAACAATGTATGAATCAATAAAGAAAACATGGTATATATGTATACAATGGAATACCATTCAGTCATAAAAAAGAAGAAAATCCTGCCATTTGTGACAACATGGATGAACCTGGAGGACATATATTAAGTGAAATAAGCCAGTCACAGAAAGACGAACGCCACATGATTTCACCTACACGTGGATTCTAAAAAGGTTTAACTCATATCTGTATAGAGTAGGATGGTTATTACCAGACGCTGATATGGTTAGCAGAGAAGGAGAAAGTGGGATATATTGATCCCCAGCTCTTTTTTTATTCTTCTTTGACTAGGAGTGGTAATAAAATATTATATGGGTGACCTGTATGATCTGGGATGAAAGGCTCCTAGTACACTGATGCCACGCTGAAAAAGACGATGTGAGATGAGGCAGGTAATCCCATTTAGCCTCATGGCTTCCAGCAGTTCATGATATCTGGTGAATTGTTATACTATCTTCTAGGCTCCGTATTTAGAGTCAGCCTGTGTCATGTTTCTGAGTCATCAAGGATAAATGCTTTTTTGGATGTGCAATTCCCCACTGTCTCACACATGAAGACGGTAAACTACTGTTTTAAACTTTCAAATAATGTTTTGAAATTATTTGCTAATAAGCCATTTTTGAATACTGAACATTGTAGATTATGTTATTTCAAAAGGAATAAGTTTTTCTCTTTTTTTTGTGTGAATCGTCTCTACTTAAGAAAAACTTATAATCATAGAAAATTAAAATTCAGAGTGCCAGACTGATCTTTAAAAGGATTCAGAGCAGAAGGAAATGACTGTAGGTGGGATTTCCAGAACTGAATTATTAACCAAATGGGCTCCATATCATTACTGCTTGCTGAGTAATGGGCATACTTTCGGCCATGCTGTAATGAAAATGCTGGGAAAGTAGTAACACAGGCAAGGCAAATGCTTTTCATTTTATGAATACTAGGGATTACATTAGGGTAACATGGCTCATGTGTTATTTCAGCAAATAACACATTTGGAGAAAATATCTTCTAAAATTCCACAATTCTCATAATTTGATAATATAAAACATTAGAATATTAGAGTATTTGAGCTAAAAAGACGCTAGTAATCATTTAGTATAACTCCTACATTTTTAAGTAAAAAATATCCATTCAGGTTGCATGACTGGCTTCAAGTTCCTTAACCAGTTTGGAGCAGAGTGAGGTTTTGAACCAAAGCCTTCTAACATCCAGTCAAATGTTCTTTTATGTTTAAATTATTAATTTTTTCAGCCCCAAAACTTCTTGAACTGACAAGCAACTTTAAGAAAGTCTCAGGATACAAAATCTATGTGCAAAAGTCACAGACATTCCTTTACACCAACAATAGGCAGGCAGAGAGTCAAATTATGAATGAACTCCCATTTACAATTGCTACAAAGAGAATAAAATACCAAAATATACAGTTAAGAAGGGATATGAGGAACCTCTTCAAGGAGAACTACCAACTGTGCTCAACGAAATAAGAGAGGACCCAAACAAATGGAAAATCATTCCATCCTCATGAATAGGAAGAATCAATATCGTGAAAATGTCCATTCTGCCCAAAGTAATTTATAGATTCAATGTTACTCCCAGCAAACTGCCATTGACATTCTTCACAGAATTAGAAAAAATGATTTTAAATTTCATATGGAATCAAACAGGATCCCACATAGCCAAGACAATCCTAAGCAAAAAGAATAAAAGAATAAAG